TGGTGCATTCTTTCAGCCGGCACATCTTGCTTGTCTTTGCTGAGCATTCAGCCCTACTTCTTAGGGTCAATAATGTCTGTGACACCTACTTAATTGCTACATGCATTTGTACTGTTCCTTGGCAATTATATTTCAGATTCCTGTCAATGTACCTGTTTGCCTCGGAGCTGTGTTTATATTAAATATCAATAAAAAAAACTGATAGCAGCTACACAAATGACAATAGAACAAAATCATACAGATCTGCAAGCCAGCCAGAGTAGGAGATGGGAGGATAAAAGAATGTTTTAATTTTATTTTAGAGGTTATTGCCAGGACATGTCTTTGCAAAGTAAAAATAGGATCTATGTTTAAAGTATTCTGGCAGAAGATATTTACATTTATAGTTTTTGAGTTTGCCTTATAGCATCATGTAATGATTTTTTGTTTACATACAGCTTTTCATCCCCCAAATATTCAAAAGAATCTCGTTACCCAATATTGAAATGTAGCTACACCTCTACCCCGATATAACGCGACCCGATATAACACGAATTCGGATATAACTTGGTAAAGCAGTGCCCCGGGGGCTGTACACTCGGGTGGTTCAAAGCAAGTTCGATATAACACGGTTTCACCTATAACGTGGTAAGATTTTTTTGGCTCCCAAGGATAGCGTTATATCGAAGTACAGGTGTATTTTGGGGGATGCAAACAGCACACGGCAGCAATAGACAACAGGACAGGCAGTGGAAAATACTGTTTTGGCAGAATGTAGTTACCAGAATTGGAATTTGGCTAGCACAACAGGTCTAACATATGTACCATTAGAAGATGTGCCATGAAATTTCGAATGGATCTCAGTTGTAGTTCGGGGGGCACTCTCACTGAGAGAAGCTGGTCCAAATACCAATGAATGCACAGCAACCATGTTGGGACCTGGGTGCTCCTAGTTTATGAGTAAGGTGTGCTAGCTGGCAAAGTCATGAACATGCCCGTTATAAGCGGTGTTTATAGTTTATAGCCACAGCCCTGCCTTGAGGGTGGCGTGAAGCCATGCCATCAGGAGTATTGTAAGGGCATTATGTCCACAGCACAACTCCCAGAGTTCTCAGCACATGACGGGAGCCTGCCTGCAGCTCTGATCTTTTGCCCCTTCTCTTCCTGGCCTCTTAGCAGTTGCTAGCACTTCAGGAGTACTGTGCTCAGTGGAATGTAGAGACTTGATTGAGGGGCATAGTGCAGGTAAGTTTTCTGCACCTCACTTTTCCTTGCCCATCACTGAAAGGGCTGAAGAGAGTCTGGCCTAATATGTTTCCAAATAAGAGTGGCTGATGTATAAAGAGTCACCTTCAGGTCACTCTCAGAGTGTTGCTAACAGTACAGCCAGCATAATGAAAGTGCAACATGCAGGAAGGCAGTAAATCGTCTCTCGACAATCTAGCATTCATTTTAAAGGAGCTGATTGTCTTTTAAAGGGCATGGTAGATTTTTAATTGTTGCCTCTTACTTAAAATGCCCTGCTTAATGCACCTCTCCGTTTCTGATTAGTTTCAGGGTCACTGGATTAATGCTTTTAAGTGATCAGCCTTTGGATGTGTTGTGATTATTGATATTAATGTAATGCAGAAAATATGCTAAAATAGGCATGTGTGGGTAAAATTTTCCCTGTTGTATCAGAATTTCCTGGTTTGTGGCAATACACACACACACACACACTCTCTTTCTCTCTCATTACAGCGATTACTTATTGTTAGCTCATCCTTAAGCAATCTATAGTTACAAGCATGGATATTTCAATATGTCTTAATATATAAACATCACTTTCCCTTGGTACTTGCTATCTGCAGTGTTGTTTATTTTAAAATAATTTTTCAAATACTTACTCTGAGGGTTTCATATTATAACACTGAAACTTTGCAGCCTGGGCAAGTAAAGTTGTCTGGTGGCATGAAAATGGCCTCCCATATGTTGAACTTGAGCTCATATAGACTCCAAATGAAGCTGTGTTGAGTTTTATTCTGCTGGAATGAGTGGTGGTGTGATGTGAAGCCTTTGGGATAGGGTGGAGACAAGCAATAAGATTTTGGGGTCTCTGAGGAATGCAGGATAGAAGAAATCTGGTGAACCATTGAAATTGTATGATGTCATGTTTCTGGCATGAAATCATGGATGTAAATTGTGAGGAAACCCCAAAATGCCTTTAAAATTAAAAGTCATAAAGCAGTGATGTCCGACCTCAGATTGGTTATTAGTTCTTCCTGTTGAAGGAAGGACCATGAAAGAGCTCAGATGCCAAGTTGAGAGCAGGTGCTTTGCATGCCCTCTGAAGAGGAGATCTCCCTTAAAATGCTCATAGAAAAGGAAATAAACCCTAAAGAACTGAAACTAAATTTTGTGTTTCAAGTGAGATTTGAACTCCTGACCACCTTAGCTATACTACTGCTGCAATGAGTCATTGAAACAGCTGTGTTGTTTAATAGTAATCTGGCTCCTCCAACAGAGCTAGCATGGTTTCAATGGGATTAGAATCACAATATTCAAGATAGTGTTGGGCTATATGGTTGGGTGAGAACATGGCTGAGATTTTAACACGTCACTTTTGTCATCTAATCACTAAATGCCATATTAGGACTGAACACAAGGTTTGCTTTCTTATTAGATTAGGATCGTATTTCTCCAAATTGATGTTTTATTTTTGTAGATTAGGCAAGAATGATCCTGAATTTCAGGTCATGGTGTTTCAGGGAAACTTATTGGAGTAACTGTAAACTCGCGAACACCTGAGGTTTTCTTCTGTGCAGTATAATGACCTTTAGGCAACACCAACATTGTATAGTGACATGGGTTTACTTTCACATAGTAGATTTGTTGGAGAGAACTCAAATTTGTGTTTGGTATGTCTCTAGTTTGACAGGTTTTGATATTATATATAATATAATATTTCATTTTCTAGGACTAAATTTAACTCCACTAGACATGTTTTTAAAACAAAATCTGCTTTGTTGAGCTTGCTTTTTCAACAGCCCGTCTATGTAAACCTAAATATTTAGATGAATGCAGAGTTCAAAGATGTGTAGCTGAGACATTTCCCTTTTTCTCCTAGTGTTTTTCTTTGATGAATGTAAGGATAGAAAACAATTTACCTTTTTTCCACTCCATTAAAATTACATTCTAAGCAATCTTCTGAAATCAATGCAGAGTGCCATTATTGTACAAGTCTGTGGAAGCATTATCTGAAACACTTGAACAAGTGGGTAGTTGTATGTGCTTTTTTTTTTTTTTTTAATTACAGCTCTGATTTAAGTTAGCTTTATTTTTCTAGTGGAAGTGTTCTTTCAAATACTTGAACAAGTTGCGTGTGTGTTCATGCCTTTAAAAAAAATACTACAACTCAGATTTTAAGTTAGCTTTGTTTTTTCTTTTTGAAACCATTGCCTTTAGGTGCAGGTTGTATTAGGAATATAGAGGGTCTTTCTTTATCATGTCTCATTTCACAACCACGTGATATCGAGGTCAAAAAACTTGGCTTTCAAATATATTAATTCAATTTTGCTTTGTCACTTTTATGACAAATAACCACTTTACATCATTCAAAAAGTACTAGGGTGTCTTAGGATTTTAAATGTTACTAGTTGAATATACTATGCTGTATTAAAAGAAAAAACAAACATAATAAAAAAAAATCTTCTCACATGGAGAGTTTTAGTTTGCTTTCATGTACTATTCTGTTTATGGGAATAAAAAAAAACAGGTCAGTCAGTGTTGGAAAATCCAAGCTCCATGTTTTTTTATATAGTAATTAGTGCTATGCTGTGTTTGCTATGCATTTGTTTGTTTTTCACAATACGCTTACATACTCCAGCAGGAAATGAAAGGCACTTCACTTTCTAATGTGCATGCTGAATAATATATATTATTATAAAGTAAAACATACATTAGACTCCATTGTACTAAAAAAAATACTACTATGCAGAGGGTCTCCCTCTAAAGATTTTAACGAAGATAGGAGTGTTGGTGTGTAAGAGTACAACCTGGTGAAATAGAATCTGTCTTTTGACAGGGCTATTATGTATGTTATCCGCACAAATAAACTTTTAACATACAGTTAAAGTGACCATACTAAATTCAAAACATTCATACAGAATATATAAATAACATTATCCTGAAAAATCCCAAGCCTTAAAAGTATATAAATTACGAGTTAAAGTAATTAATAATCTGTTACCCTTACAGTACATTCATTCAGTAATAGTGATATGACCCTTCCTGTTATATATTCTAATTAACACATTTAACTCTCACCTATAAAGTATGTCTTGGAACTCTTACACAGATTAGTGATGTATATATTGAATCTTCTACACCTATGTATACGTTTCCACTAGGTAAAATACATAAATAGTGTTGAAAGTGTTTGTAAGTATGCCTGTAACTGCTTCAAAGCAACTTTATTAAGAAATGGAATGTTAGAAAGAGACAAAATAATCCCATCATGACTTCCTGCCACTTTATCCAATATTTGTGTTGTCATGTTGCATTAATACATGATGACATTGCATCATCATGACTCAATACCATTGTCCATTTATTGCAGTATCATGTTATAGTACATCATCACACCCATCTCTCCACACCTTGCTAGATGTTGGGAGGGTAGTTTGACTGGGAAGTGCATTTGCCCCTCAACCCTCTCTCTTGGCTACTGAAAGAAGTTTTCTTTCTCTTTGGAGTAGGTGTGTTTTGTGGGTCATCTCTTGAATGCTGGGAATGAAGGCTGGAGAAAATAGTTTCCAGAGGCCCATACACACCAAGTTAATAGGTGCTGAGACCCAGAAAGTCCTGGAGAAATACTCACTGAAACTGTGCTCTTCATAGGAGCCACATGTAGAGAGTGCCCTTGACTTATGAGCTAGAACTTGCAGTGGTTGCTTGCAATGGTTTTAGATACTGAATCAACCAAAGATGATATGGTGCAAGGGATTCTATCAACTGAGTGTCACTCTTCTTTATTTTTTCAGATCCAGCTATCGTAAATGGAGTCTTTTGGTCAGAATCCTTAAACAAGGTGTTTGTCGATAACTTTGACCGTGACCCTTCTCTCATATGGCAGTACTTTGGAAGTGCAAAGGGATTTTTTAGACAGTATCCAGGTATGCATATTAATTAAAATAAAATGAACAGGTGATATTGCTACAGGTTTCCATTAAAAAATTAGTGTTGCGGGTCCTGAATTTTGCAAGCACCCACAGATTCCATTAACTTAATTTAGAGTTCTCAGAGCAGTTCTTAAAAAAGCAAGGGCTATTAATATTTATCCCCTTTCTCCCAAATAATATTTGTAATTGTGAAAAAATTGGGAATAGTCCAACAGCAAATATATTGTCACTTGCTTTTGCACATTTACCCAATTCAAGTGTGACATATATCGCAAATGCATGCAGTATCTTTGTGGGAACATATTGTATTAATCATCAGTGTATGCATCAGTCCGGGGCAGGGATTGAATGTATGATTGTGTTCTGTTCTATGGGGGATGATTATCACAGCTCCTCCAAGTACCAAAACCGGGGTGTGTGTGGAGGGGTGATTAAGGTGAATCACTTAGGTTTTAAACACCTCTAGAGAGGTCCCACCTTTGGGGAGGCTCACATATACTAGTTCAAACTGGATTTTCCAGAGACCAACAGACAAAGCAAAGGCTTTTGGCATAAAAAGCTTGTGGTTAAACTGACTTGGGGCCTTCTTTCTAATCCAACGTATGGGCAGGATTCTTCAGTGCAACCCCTGCAGAAGGGTTGGAAAGACTTTGACTTACTAGGGCCCCATAAGACTAATGGGTGACCTCTGGTACTCTTTTGACATGTGTATAGGGACTTCTTTTGGTTTCTTACATGCTTTTTCTGTAATGCTGTTACCTTAAGAATAAAGGTGCTTGCTTAGAAGGAGTGGTGTGGTATCTTGTAACTGCTGGCAATACACTGCTCATAACCCTTGCAGAGAAAGTAAAACACAGGTGGTGGCTTATAGGCAGACTGGCTTGCTGGGGATATCACAGTGTAAGGCAGGGAGATGTGCAGCCGTAAAACCCTGGGAAGGAGAGAGAGAGAAGCTGTTCTCCACCCAAGAGAGATGGCATTTGGGAGCCAGGAACCTTAAGTGGGTGCCCTCGAGGGAGCACCGAGGGTGAATACAGGTGTTATTACCTGAAACTGAGACACCATGTTTTTGTACATTTACCCAATTTAGTGCATTTCGCTTACTGTTTACAAATTCCTTGTATTATGACAACCAGGAAATTGATACAACTGAATGTAAATTACAAAAGAAATTAAGCCAGTACTTGCAATTTTTGCCATTTCAAACTCCAAACCTATTTGCAAGGCCTACATTTTCTCACTGTGCATCTTGTCCAGGTAGAAATTCAGAGCGAGCTGGCATAATTTCAAGATGAGATATCACTGGTTCTAGCAAATGCTGTACATGCATGCATGCTAGCACAGATATGTAACAAAGTAGGAGAGAAAGTTTGCAGAATTATAGGTATACTTATGTTTCTTGGTTAGAACAGGTAAGACCCGTGGGGCATTTTTCTGCATAGTGCTGTATCATATGAGATATTTAATTCTGCTGGATTTGAATTTTTAATAAAAAATGAAGTTTTAATTTTGCTTGGGAATTATGAAAATGTGACTTCAGGCAGAAGTTATGCCAACATTGCAACTGTAGAGATAGAACTCAGACAGCTAACAATAATGTAAAAAGCCTAATTTTGGAGTAGTAGAGCTGTTTCATATTGTGGTAAGTAAAAGTAATTGCTACACATCTTTATTGCTATGCTAAATCAAATTAATTTTCCATGCTAATAATTTCCTCATTCATATGACTTAAAGCAGAGGTGGGCAAACTACAGCCCGTGGGCCACATCCGGCCTGTGGGACCCTCCTGCCTGGCCCCTGAGCTCCTGGCCCGGGAGGCTAGCCCCCGGCCCCTCCTCCGCAGCCTCAGCTCGCTCCGCCGCCGCACAATGCTCTGGGCGGCGGAGCTACAAGCTCCTGAGGCAGCGCAGCTGCAGAACCCGGCCTGACCCGGTGCTCTGTGCTGCGCAGTGTGTGGCTGGCTCCCGCTGGGTGGCCTGGCTGTAGCGCCACCAGCCACTGGTGCTCCAGGCAGAGCGGTAAGGTGGCAGGGAGTGGGGGGTTTGGATCGAGGGCAGGGGTGTTCGGGGGTGGTCAGGGGGTGGGATGGTCAGAGGGCAGGGAACAGGGGTTGAATGAGAGCAGGGTCCCAGGGGGGCAGTCAGGAAGGAGGGGGGGGCTGGATGGGGCAGCGGGGGGCAGTCAGGGGCAGGGGTTCTGGAGGCAGTCAGGGGACAGGGAGAAGGGGTGGTTGGATGGGGCAGAGGTCCTGGGGGGCAGTCAGGAAGGGG